GTGGCCAAGGTGACGCCGACGTGTCAGCCGAGGTGCCACGTGTCCTGGTCATGACGCCGAGGTTATCTCGGCAAGGCCGAGGTTATCTCAGAAGATATCAGAATCCGAGATAAGCGAATAACGTACAAGAGTCCTAGAATGATGAGGGGACTCAGCCTGGATAAAGATAAAACTCTTAGGGAGTTTATCTCTATCTATAGAAGAGTCCTAGATAAGCACTGAACTAAAGTCCATTAAAGCTAGGCTTCTGTTGGGACAATGATTGAGTTAACTATTAAAGAAAGACACCCCCGATGGGTCTAAGGTACACAATTTATACTCAGAACAGTGAGTTTAGCAATTGATTATCTTTGAGAGATATTATACTGATTTGATTGTCGGAGTGCCCCCGGGTGGACAAACCACCGTCGGAATCTTCTCTTTTTGTTGCAGGTCAGCTAGGTGTCATCTATTATGCAAGTTCTCTCCAACTGAATACTAAGTTGGCAGTGTGGTTAGAAAATCACTCACGCACATACATAGTACTAAAAAAATTGAGTGGGACAATGTTGACACATTGGTTAGATAGTCCGTAGTTGAGAGATTAGAGATGATTCAAATAATGTGTTGTGTGTTTAGCAATTCATCATCATTTATTAAAAAAAACAAAAAAAAAAATGTCTTATTTTGTTTTTAATTATTAATGAATTTTATCAAGTTATAATATGGATAATTAAATTTTATTTGTGATGAAAAAAATTCCCAAAATATTCATTGCTCCATAATGGTGTGTCTTATCCAATTTTACCTTTCTTATTTAATATGAACAACAATTTTATAAATAATTTTAACTTAATTAAAATTTAAAATTTTAATTGTAAAAATTATTAATCTTATACTTATAGTTTTGTTTACTTGGTAAGAGTTGATGGCAAGCTGCATTGGGTTCAATTTATAATAATGAAGGATTTCTCGAAAAAGGATGTCGAGTGGGAGCCTAAAGTTTAGTTTATTAAAAATCATTTAATTTGAACAATTAAAAATAATTTAATTATAAAATTTCTAGTAAATTAAAATTATTTATCAAACTTTTTGTTCATATTTTAATGAAAAAGATAAAATTAAAATAAAATATATTATTATGAACAATTGAATTTTTTATAACAATTTATAAAATAAAATAAAAGATTTATTTGTTAATATTGAAATTTAATATAACTCAATAATAATTTTCAAAACAAAATTGAATTTATTGATAATTTTTTTATTGTGATTTATGATTTTTTTTAATATAATATCATAACTTGTACAATTAAAAATTATTATTTTATTAAAAATATTTATAACATTGTTGTTCATATTAAATAAGGGATAAAATTGAGATAACATCCACCATGATGGAGCAATGAACTTTTAAAAAATATACTATGAAAAATAAGATTTAATTGTCCATATTGAAACTTGATAGAACTTTACCTATTAATAGCAAAATAGGGCTTATTGCTTATTTTCCCTTCTTTTAAATGAAAGATGGAACTAATTCAATAATGGGAGATTTACGTGTAAGTCTTAATAGGTGGACTTATTATCCAATAGATCCAGTGATAATTAATGACGTATTTCATCAAACACTATTAAAAAAAATTCACTAATTGTTCATTTTCAGCAATAATTTAAAATTTTTGTCACAAAAAATATCACTAATTATAAGTTTTAGCGACAGTTTAAAAAATTATCACAAAAAATGTTACTAATTTTTAACTTTCAGAGACAATTTAAAAAATTCGTCATAGAAAAATATCACTAATCGTAAGTTTTAACGACAATTTATAAAAAATCATGATAAAAAAAGTAGTACTAATTGCTAATTTTTAGCATATAAAAAATCATCACAAAAAATTATTTTTAGCGCCGATTTTATTAAGACTAACTTACAATAAGACTTGTGGTTGCAAAAACGAACGCAAAAACAAAATTCAAATTATATGTATTTAAAATTAATAACAATTTTTTAGTTATTTTATTTGTAGCCTAGGCACCATAGGAAAGTCAATCACTTGTTTGGTTTGGATTTTCTAAAAATACTTTTCAAAAAATTTTACTTTCTTATTTTTTGTATTTTTTTTACTGAATTTTTTTAATATTTTAAGCAATTTTTTTTTTAATTTTTAGACACACCTAACATAAATACACTTAAAAAGTATAATTTTCGTGAAAAAAATCTTTAAAAAATTCACTAAATAACAAAAATACAAAAAAATACAAAAATACAAAAATTCAGTATATTTTTCATATTTTTGTGTATTTATTAATTTTTTGAAATATTTTTTTCACAAATATTTTACTTTTTAGATACATATATGTAAGGTGCATCTTAAAAAGTTAAAAAAAAAATTACCTAAAAACAAAAAACATGAAAAACAAAAAAACTCAATTTTCAAAAAATAAATTCAAAAAATTAAAATCAAACACACTGAATTCTCCTTAATTTGGGGATCTAACTAGAGAGGTCATGTTGATGACCTTATGATAGATGTATTTTAATGATTTAAATCGTTCATTTTGTAATGTCTATAAAAAAAATAATCCGTGTCAAATAATTAAGATTATCTAGCATTGATATCCATATGATCGGTTCATGTTTATTTTAAAAAATAAATTATTTATTTTTAAAATTAAACTTCATATTTTTTTTTTCTTTTAAGACATGTGATTGTACTAATTTTCCTAGAAGATGCTATTGTGTTTACAATAGGCAAGACTGTCAACGGATTTGACCGAACACCATGGAAAAAAACTAGGTTGATTCAAAGAAAATTAAAACCGATTGGACCCTAGTGTCTCAATCCTATTTTGAATAATAGGTTAAAAGTTGACTTTTTAACTTACGTAACTCAAATATTTCATTTCCCGTATCTTTCTAAATTCAAAATCACGTTATTTCGTAGTTTTATTTATTTATTTATTTATTTTTCAATAACGCAGAAGAAGAAGGAAGAGGAGAAGAAGAGAAGAAGAGAGTAGTAGAGAGAGAGAAAGAAAACGCGAGAGAGAGAGAGAGAGAGAGAGAGAGAGAACACCCAACAACCATTCAGAAAAAAAAAAAAAAAAAAAAAAATCAACCATTCATCTTCAGATCCAGAACATCTTCATCATCAACAACAACATCACCACCATCATCATCAACACATCGATATGAAGAAAAAAAAATGATTGATTTGAAAAAAAACACAATGATCGATCTGAAAAAAAAAAAGGGGTTGAAAAAAAAAATCGGAGGCGGAGGCGATGGCAATCGATGGCGACCCTCTTTCTCTCTCTCTATTCCCTCTTCCCCTCTCTTCTCTTTCTCTCTTTCTCTCTCTTTCTCTTTCTCTTTTTCTTTCTCTTTCTCTTTCTCTCCCTCTTCCTTTTTTTCTTTGCGTTTCAGACATAAAGGAGGGAAGAAAGAAAAAAAAAAATAAAATAAGAAGGAAACCGTCCAAAATGACGTCGTTTTGGGCAGTCGAGGGATTCGAGGAAGGGAGATTCGAGCTACAAACCATTTTCCTTTTAATTTTTGTTTGTTTTTTAAATATATAAAAAAACAATATGACTTAAAATATTAAAAAATAAAA